CTCACCTCCTTGTTTGTTTGGAAGCTTCCAATTTTTCCCTGTTTGGTACCCGGTTTTTGGGCAAATCGTTTGTATTTTTGCTTTTCCTTGAGCTTTTCCTTTTTCCCTCTCTTGATGTGTGGCGGATGCGGGGCATTGCGGGAAGGATGTCGATGAGGCAATCTTTTTCCCACCATGGCGGGAATTATGGGATGAACCCGCAACATGCAAGCCACTAGACGAAACCCTCGATATGTTAATGAGAAAGGCTTGAGGAGGACACAAACTATTCTTGGAATTCAGTGCATCCTACAAGTATCTACGTTTTTTGTCTTGCTATTTTATTTTTCGGGGCCTTCCTTCTCCTGCATCCGTTTTGCCTGCCTACCTAGCTTTTTTGTCTTCATTGTCTACATTATTTTTACCAGTTGGTTGGGCGGAAAATCTATTGCGTTAAAAGAATGCAATGCGTGTTCCTCTCCGTGCATTTCATAATGATCTCCATTGTGGGGGATCCTCATGGAAAAGGCAAGATTTGTCAATAGCTTTTCGATATTACTCTTATATGAGCATTCTCGGACACTGCTTGCGACGAACCTCATGTGCCGAAGACTCGCTTGGAACCGCCCGAGCATAACCAAATTGGGGGTAGAAGGGTGGAGGGGGGGAGTAATATTATTGGGGGTGGGGAAAGCTCGTAATTGAAGGAGCGCCGTTGGGTGCTCCTCCGCAAATAAACTCCTGGGAATGTGCGTTGGTGGGTTTGGGTTACACTGACACTGACAGACAGAAGAGGCGGCGGCCTTTTTTCTTTCTCACTCGCGACTCTGGCGCGCCTTTTTTTGTGTCTACCCGGTGTGTCGTGTGTATCTATGTGTAGAGCTATTTCAATGTCAACTAACTCTCTAACTACATGTGGTCGAACACTCGTCCCTACTACCTACATTACATACCATACCATACATGGTACATGGAGTACATGTACCTACCTAGAGTTACTGTACCTACCCACATACAGCTGGCTGGGGTACATTATACATACATACAACATACCTACATATGTAATCAACGAGATTTACCTCCTTCAATTCCTCTACTACTGCTGCATGACGGCCGGGGCAGAGTTTTATTGGTCCCGATGCTGCGACCCGTGTCCGCGGTCGCGAGTCGAGGAGCCTGGTCGGCCACCCATGCAGATAACTTTATGTGTGTTGAATAAGCGGCGCGCAACTTGGAAGGGGAAAGGGCTGCGTGTGGTATTGGGGGGGGTGGGGGGGGTGTGAGTTGTGACGGACGTATGGGGTGTAGTGTGTGTGGTCAAGTCACTACATTATAATATCTCTGTGGTGAGTTACCTTAGGACCGAGTGAGGGTCTGTTATGTAGGGTATATGTACTCTACTCATGTAGGTATATGTACGTGTTGCTTTATCTCATCTCGATGCGTAATAATGTTGTGGAGCAGGAACACAAAGGGGGGAGGGGGGAGTTATTGGGGGGGACCCAGAGATATTCAATCTCAACGTTCAGAGAAATGTTGTTTTTTTGGATCATGGAGGTGTGTGTATATACATGTATGGTAGGCGGGAAAGGTTGCCCACCCTCTAAAAATAATGCTCGACGGCACTCTGACTACCGAGGAAGGGCATACAGTACCGGCAGACAGAACTGACAGACAGGAGTAATGATAACAGGCATGTATGAAGTATGTATGCATATATGTATGTAGGGGAGTGTGAGATGGATGCCAGATAGTTGTAGATGGATGGGGGGGTTGTCCCGGTGGTGGAGCGGGGGGGGAGTGATGTGTGGTGATGATGGTGGTGGTGGTAGTGATGGTAGTGGTGGATACTGGTGGTGGTAGTTGTGGTAGTTGTGGTAGTGGTCGACGTGAAAGTAAGAAGCGTAAGTAAGAAAAAACGAACCGAGACATTTATTGCCTGATAATCCTGTTCCTGACCTGTGCTGCTCCGTGCGTTGTGTCCCAACAAGGACCATTTCCCTATCGCTTGGTGGTAGTAGTAGGGCCGCGGACAAGACATACAGAGACAGTTCAGTGTCAGACAGACAGACAGTCAGCCATAAGATGATAGTCAAAGTCAGTCAGCCATGATGTGGATGGTCAGGTAGAGTTACCGAGAGTGTAAAATTATGTAGCAGATGTAGGCAGCTAGCAGCACACAGATACGGTACTGGAGATAGAGTGCTCACAGATTGGTACTCAGTTGCTGACGCCAGAGAAGAGCTACAACAGGGAACTTCCTCTACCAGGCAATCTAGGTAAAGTGAAGTAGATTATTACCTGTGTTGTCACTGTAGCATGGGTGTTCCATCGTCATGGACTTAGATAATGAGGATTCGCATTGACCCCAGTAACACGTCCATCCATCCATTTCCATCCATCCAACACGGTCGTTGTCGGTACTCCTACTACTATCCTGGTCAAAGATACATAACATGGCTTACCTTACCCAGAGCAGGTACCAGTAAATCTGAGGAGAGTGAAGGATGCGTTCAAGGCCCGGCGCAGATCTACAAAAAAATTTGTTGGATATGTGTGCGCATCTCATCCTCTCGCTTGGTGTGCAGTGAGTGTCGCGCAGGCCTTGACCCCCCTCTCTTCTACTCCACCCCCATCCTCTTACATACTCTCCCCTGGCTACGTCCCATTCGGGCCCAACACATGCACAACCAACAGCCAACAGTAGGAATGAAGAGGTGGGCAGCAACTAGTAGGAAGGTTAGTACCAGTACAGGTGCCTACTCTAGACCGTACTGGTAGGTCACCACTACCTATCCTGTCCAATTCTGTCCATTAATATTTGTCCCCCCCAATCCAACGATGCTAGCTTAGATAGTCCAGAGACACCCTGCCTAACTGCCCGCTCCTGCTGCTCGTTCGTTCAGCTTCTCCGCACACACAGCTCACTCACACCCACGCACTCACACACACTCGCGCGTAAGGAGCGATAGAAGAAACAGCATGGGCAGCTAGCTAGTGGTGGTGGTGGTGGTGGTGGTGGTCATTAATCAATCAATGAATAAATGAATGAGCGAGCGAGAGAGAGATACAGATAGCAGATGCGAAGACGGAGGAATACCTATCTGTCTGCCTACCTAGCTGTCTAGGTATCTCTGTCTAGCTGTCAACCTAACCCATCCATCCATACATATCACGACAAGGAGTAGCAAAAGTCCGTGCAATCAACAAAAGCGACAACCCTCATCATTACCCATCAGCATCATCATCATCATCATCGCCAACAGCAGCAGCAGCAGCATCATCATATGCTAAACCAGCTCATATGTAGTCGTCTTAGAATCATATCTAGCCCAGATGTGCTGGTATATACATTCCGTGAGAGGAAATAAAGTGGTATTGCGTGTTTGAGCACGACTCAACCTGCCAATGATGGGCCCTGCCGTAGGCCACTGGATGTGCCCGGACAGCCCCGTTTTTTCTTTCTTGCTGTCCCATAGATTACGGATTACGAAGTCTCTGCGGGCACGGACACCTCATTCGTGCCCTAGCAGATCCCAACGGAGGGGCTGAAGGTTAGTGAACGAAGCCTGGATTGGCGATACATACTACATACATGACGGGAGGTCGGGAGGGAGAACGCACCCGGGAAGGCAAGGCAAGGGAAAGGGAAGAACGAGAGAACGGGCTTGTTCTTTGGACTACCTTACGGTGCTACCTAGTGTAGCATGTATGAATATTGGGCGTCCCCGTACACCGTAACGCCGTACTCGATAGTAGGAGTTTAACGGGGAGATTGATTGATGGAATACAGACGGAACACTGTCTGTCTTCCTGCCTGTCCTGTATCCCGAATGCCTGGATACATCCACCCTCCATCCCGACTCTTGTGGGCCCTCCCTGCCCTACCAACCACCTCCCTCCCCCCCCCCTTTAGGTACAGTCCATGTACTTGATATCTACAAGTAGTAGTACTGGGCTACAATTGAATGGCCTTTCTCTCTTGCGGATGATGTGCGGTGATTCCCTCTAACCTAACCCCCCCCTTGAACATAACCCCCCATCCCCACTCCGATCCCCCCACCTTCTGCCGAAGACCCCAAATAGCGGTTTCAAGGTTGAAAAAAAAAATGGGTAGGGGATCCGTCAAACATTAAATTCTGATCCCACATGAAATATCACTACGGGCCTATTGAACGAACTCATTTGCTACTCCCCATAATCCATACCACCACATCCTCCATCATAATCAATCACCACACACCCGGTCAACACTCCCCCCCCCCCCCTTCCTTACCTCAACACAGGATTATACATCATCCCGCAAATATTCGATCGAAGATTCGCCGACCTGCGATGCATGCAGCAGCGGTAGTAACTTCTTTTTGATATTCCTTTTTCCTGTTTTGACCAGGGATCTCCCACGCCGCGCTCGAGTCGTCACCTGGTCTCTACTCTTACTTGCCTGCCCAGGTCACAAAACCCACACACCCTCTCGAACCCGCATTTCGCCTTGCAGGTATAGGACACCCTTCTAGTGGACCAATACCAATGCCGCGCGGGTGACAGAGTCTCAAAAAAACTGAACAAAAGTTTTTTACATACTCTCTTCTTCTTCAAGCCTCTCTCTCTCTCTCTCGTGGGGGAAAAGGTTATTATAAGGTGTTGAGCATCAGCTCGCCCACCACTACCAGCAAGCAAGGCGTAGCTACACCTAGTCAATCCCATTGAAAAGCAAGCCCGACGGTCCGAGACGCCTAGCCCCGGCCTCCTGGATACTACAGATCATAACCCGGCAAAGGTTTCCCACAGTCTCACCTTTTTTTAAATCCTCAAAAACCCCTAGCTAGGTACGCCTCTCACAGTCACAAGTTACAACCGCAATTCTGGCAGCAGCAGTAGCATCAAATCCAGCTCGTGTCTGGCATCGTGACAAGACGCAGCATCGGTTCAGCGGTCCTGTACCTGGGGCAATGGACATCTCTGGCCTGGTATATCGTACAGACCATTCAGTTTCGACTTCGGCGTCGTCACGGGGAATCATGGCTCCTCACATGCCCTTAAACTCGCAGCCGTTTGTTCAGGATCAGATGGGAAACTTTGACGCGTATCAAGGACAATTTGGGTTCGATACGTCCCAAGTTCCTCACTATCAGGGCGTGGGCGTTGTAGGACACCCTCCGAACGGGTTTCCACAATCATATGCTGCTCATCATCAAGCGCACCCTCACCATGCTCACCATCAACCGCATCCGCATCCGCATCCCCATGCAAATCAGCATCATCAACATCCTCAACCGCATCCTCAACCGCATCACCAGCATCCGCAGCATAATCCTCATTCTCACGCCCATCACCAGGGTATTCAACAACCTACACCAGCAATCATTTCCCAGCGTGCTCCCCAACAACAACAGCACCAACAGCAGCAGCAGCAGCAGCAGCAGCAGCAGCACCAGCAACAACAACAGCAGCAGCAGCAGCAACAGCAGCAGCAACATCAGCAGCAGCAGCAACAGCAGCAACAACAGCAACAGCAGATACCACAGGAAAACAGGGGCATTAATGGTCAGCGGAGAGCAACACTAACTAGACCGACATTGCAGAACCCTTCAGTACCAACTCAGAAGCAAGCTGCGAGATCTTTGAGCTACCCATACCCACAGTCTTCACCGCCCCGCGGTAGTCCAGGAACCACCAAGGTTGCAAACCCGAATAATGAGGTGGATTTCCAGACAGACGTGGATACTTTGATGAAGGCTATCCAGTCCAAGCATTCTGTGACACTAAAATCTGAACCAAACTCACCATCCCCAGGGTATCCCGCTCAGCAACTAAAATCTTCACCAGTGACCCCGATACATCCCGGTGGATTCGCTCAAAGATCGCCTTTCAGTGGTTATGTGCAAGCTGGATATTCGGGACACCAACTAGGCAGTAATATGCAGGGTTCGGGACTCGGTGTCAACAAACTGCTGGCAGAAACAGAGGAGGTCCAGAGGGCAGGGAAGGAAGAAAAGAAGGGGTCGCAGAAGGCGAAGAAGAGATATGAGTGCGATGTGCCAGGATGTAACAAGAGTTTTTTCCAAAAGACACATCTCGATATTCACTCTCGTGCTCACACTGGAGACAAGCCATTTGTTGGTCTTCCCGCTATCTCCCTTCTCTCCGATCTCTTGAAATATAGAAACCTTTCCATTGTTCGTAGCGCTGATCGTTTCCATTAGCAATGCAGTGAGCCTGGTTGTGGCCAACGTTTCTCCCAGTTGGGTAATCTCAAGGTCCGTTTTTCTCTCTTTAGTGCCTCCCATATTACCTTGCCTACCCATGCGACCCCCTCATTCGATTATTTGCGGCTATCAACATGAAACTTATTTTATACTTTTTTATAGACGCATGAACGTAGACATACTGGCGAAAAGCCGTACTCTTGCGACTTCTGCGGCAAGCGATTCGCCCAAAGAGGCAATGTTCGCGCTCACAAGATTGTGCATGACGGTGCCAAACCATTTACTTGCCGGCTGGATAACTGCGAGAAACAATTTACCCAGCTAGGGAATCTCAAGGTAGGCGCGCTCAAAATTACCCCCCGATCATTTTAATTTAAAGTTTCTAGCTTTGAACTCCTCCCCCTGATGAAATTTTAATGTTTATTAACTCGCTTGATTTCTTTGTAGTCGCACCAAAACAAGTTTCACGCTGTAACCTTGCGCACGTTGACTGACAAGTTCGCGGGCGTTCGGGAACCCGATGAAATGTCGCCGGCCGACAGGGAACTCTTTGAGTACTTTGCAGAGCTATACAAGAACTCCAACCGTGGCATCAAGGGCCGTGGCAAGGACCGAAAAATTACAGGAACCAAGAAGGCCCGCCCGAATGATGGAGAAGTTGGCGGAAACGACCATCAAAATGGACGTCATCACCAGGGAGGTGCAGGTGGCGATATGCACAGTTTAGGATCGCCAAACGGTTCCTGCGGCAGCAACTCGAACCCGGATGGGGGATTTGATTTTGCAGGTGGACACATGGATGAAGATGAGGAAAGCTCTGTGGATTCTTCTTACGAACAGCAGCTGCCTCCCATGAGGCCTGGAGGAAACGTCGGAATGGTAGCTATGGGCGGATATGCAGAGGACACAATGGCGATACACACCGATATGGCAAAGTACAGCCTGGATCGCAAATTCCAGCTGTAACAAATTTTTTTTTACCTTCATCTTCATAGCGATTACTTGATTTGATTTTGATTTTGATTTTTTATACCTGGGGTTGTATGGCGTCGCTCTGTAATATTGATTGCATCATATCACTTTATTGGATCTACCTGCGCGACATGGTTTGGTGTTTCCTTTTTTTGTTTCCTTACGGTCAGGTCAACTTTTTACCCCTTACCTATTCCCTTGGTTTCCTGTTATTATTTTCTTTTTGGTCCCCGTTTTGTGGCTCGGATCCGGGGTAAAAATCTTTTAGGCAAAAAAGAAAAAAGGCGTTGGCCCATGGCTCAATGATTTACAGAATCTTGCATTTATTTTTTATTTTTTTATTTTATTTTATTTTTCCAAAAATTTCTTATTTTTTATTTTTTCTATCGCGTGTGAGTGCGCATTTGGGGGCGGCATTTCTTTTCTTTTCCCATCATTTTTCTTAAATGGGGAAAATACCGGAGCACCGGTACTTGGGTACTGGTTCGCTTGTTGGTTCGGACGGGGGAGTTTCCGCAGAGCTTGATTTTTACTCGATTTGATTTGCTTTCATTTTCTCGTTCAGGCAGCTAGGCAGCTGGGAAGGGAGGGAGGGAGAGGGAAGAGGAAGGAAGGGGGGGGGGGAAGGGTGTGGGACAGTCTGTGGGTGTGGTGGTTGATCCTGGCGGTGGTGGTGGTGGGTGTGATGGATGTCTATCCAGGTGTGTGTGTGGTTGGGGTGTGGTGTGGGTGTCTCCCAATCTGTATGGGCGGGGAAGAAGTACGCTTTCCCTGTTGCTGATCTTCCCTGCTTGCTGATAACGTTTCCCACGGCATCCCTCTCTCGGGTTCGTTGATTGGGTCGTGGGGGTCCTCCGGCCTGTCTCTGTGTGGGAGTCAGAGAAAAGAAGGGGGCATGCGCAGTGGGGCGGCCACAGGCTCGCCGCACGCGCTCTATCACATATCTGTATTTCTATTCTACATCTGCCGTTACTCCATACTTTCTTCCCTCTCTTTTTTCTATTTGTCCCATTTCCCTTTGATGAGGTCATTGCTCTACATTTGGTTACCTTCTTTTTTCTCTTATTTTTATTTTTCTGATGTCTTTTGTTTTTTACTTTTCGGTTTTTTCCAGATCTTATCTATTTTGTTCTGCACAGCACGTGGGATGTATGGGTGGGGTTTAGCATTTCTTTTGGGAAAGGGGCGGGGGGGTTCCGCGGCGGCGGCAGCGGGGGGGCGTTTGACTACCATTTTTATCTCTTTTTTTTCCTTTTTCTTACCAAAAGTTTCTCCCTAGCTTAAGTTTCTCCTTAGCTTCGTATCTTTAGGAAACCTGTACCTTAATATCTTGGTACATGTAGTTACACCACACAAGTCAAGACGTAATACTACTCTACTATTGGAAAGATCAGTAAAGGAAAAGAAAAACAAAACAACCATTATGATTAAGAAAAAACAATAAACAGCAAGAAGAACCGCGTTTTTTTTTTTTCTTTCTTGGGGAGCAGCAAGCAGTGAACTGTTTTAGAGCTGGGGAGAGACACTCACTGCCTGCCTAGTCACGGGGTGTTGCCGCAGGGCTATATCTAACTCCACTGATCATGATATGATATGACATTCAAGAAACCCAAGCCTGCGGGTACTGGAGCATCATGTTCTTGTTCATAAGAACTAAAAAAAGCAAATAAAAGTGCCTGAGTCGGGCGAGACAACAGAACATCACAGCTAGCTCCTCCTTCCCAGCCTTACACCCGTTTTGGGCGTTCCGTTAACGCACTAACCCCCTCCCTCCCAACCCCAACCCCAACCCCAACCCCAACCTAACCCAACCCCAGGATACACTTAGTTTTTTGATGTACAAGTATATATGCTCCATTTGATCATGATTCTGCATCGGCTCTCATCTCGCTTTATTTCTTTTACTCAGAGTAGATAGATTAGTAGACACATGCAAGCACAGTAGATTAGAAGGGATAGAGGAGGAGAGTGGAGGGAGCTTCTTGAACGCACGGTAACCTCCACATACATATTGTTATGCATCACGTGGGACATTGAAATTTCGATAACTAACAAATTGACACTGAACTACATACAAACTACTACTACTTACAGTACTCTCTACCTTATATACCTTGACTGCTGCTGCTGCCTGGCCCCTCCCCCCATAACAGACACATGATATGGTAGTATGATCCAAGGTGTAAGTAAAACTTGAACAACGACCCTGGGAACGGACAAGAGCGGAAATGGCGATAGAAATATAATTCCAACAAGGACCGCGCGGGCGGCCACAACCACTCCCCCTCCCTCACCCCTCCCCCCCCGACATTAACAAGAGTCAAGCAAGCAACGACACACACGACACCACACACACACCACATATAACTCACCACATATATGGGGGTGGAGGGGGGTGGTGGTGTTGATGAGGGAGGGGTTATTGTTGCTGTTACGTTTTGGAGGCTCCGAGCTTTTCGTTGCCTACCTACCTCCTAGTCCTAGTCCTAGTCCTAGCTCTTACTCTCTCTCCCTGGAAATTTTCTTTCCCTTCCGTCCCTGGTGAAATTTTCATTTCGACCGTTCCGGTGGGATTTTAAAGAAGTACCGTGCGGGCGTAAATGTTGTGCTGTAACTGACTGATTGACGCAGTGGCAGGTCTGATGGTGGTGGGTGAACCGTGGGATATGGCTGCTCGTTGTCTGATCAACGTGTGGGATGGACGGGAGTATTCAAAATATACCAGAGGAATCTACGTTCGAGGGCGATCTCCATCATGATGAAACTGAAAAAAAGAGACAAGAAGAAATTTCAAAAGAAAAACGTAATGGATCGGATCGGAACATTGGGAATCCTTCGTCCTGGAAATAGATTTTTATAACTGTTACAGCTATCTGAAGTACTGGTACGTGAGATTTACCCGCACCACCTTTTGTTTTATTTTTCTTGCTGCTGCGTGTCCTAGGACACTTGCTGCACTAATTTGGGTCCGCTTCGTCTCCACGAGGCTGGAGGCATGAATCAAGCATCATGAGAGGTTTCGTTTCGCAGCCTATGGGGAACCAAAGACACATACAGGGTCTTACAGGAGGTTCCAAGATTCAAGGATATTTTACACGAGAGATGAATAATCTGGCCCCCCCCCCCCCCAAACATTCGCACTCCAAGCACCCCTGGATTCAGCTAAACTTCTTCTCTCCCCCCCCCCCCCCCCCCCCCCCCGGTCAGGAGATCTTCAACATCCTAGTCGCAAGCATGGTGACACGTCTGTGGTCACCATAAACTCATCCATGTCGCTTTTAATTTTTTTCTCTCGGTCTTCTCTAGCAATTCGCCCAGAAAACGCAACACAGCCCTGGCCGAGGTTTCCGCGCTCGTACGTGCGTCTGTCTACCTGTTGTGTCTCTCAATCGTGGTGTGTGTGTGACCGGTGTGAAATGTGTGTGTCTCGATTCGCCTCACTGGAGGTAATACCGGGTATTCTCGTACACGAGGAAGGTGATGCAAGTGGACGGTAAGACCCGTGCCAGGTTTGGCGCCAACCTATTTATTTACATTCCCAAGACCCATGAAGGAATTAAAAATTCCCAGGTCACGAATTGTCAGCGAGAAACTGTTTTAAGTCTTTATTTCGGACCTGACCCGGATTCTCTCTATCTCCTATCCGTATGTTTAAGGGAGCTTTCTTTTTCGGTTGCTTGTTGGGTGGACCCTGCTTGTTGCCTGTCTATGTCTGTGGGTTCCTCCCTTTTCTTTTTCTTGTGAAGCGACGCTCTCCGCTTTTTGAAACAAGCGATTGCGGTTGGATATTGGCGAAAGCCCATTTGCTCATCCGTTCGGCTTGTCTTCCGAAGAGGCGATGATAGGTGGAATTGGATGGAATCGTGAAACGGAAGGCGAAAAAGAGAGTGATAGAAAAGGATCGAAACTCACCCTTTGTAAAATCCCCCAACACCCTCATTTCTCCATATCTTTATCACGGCGTCCCGAGCGGACGAGTACACGGCATCGGCGTCATAAGTCTGCATCCGCGTCTGCACGACACGGTATGGATATGTGATTGATCCGGCCATAATCTTTGACGTTGCAGAAAGTGTAAGGAAGTCGAGATTACTCAGTCCCTTTTTCGTATTTTCTTCTGATACCGGAGCTCCTCCTCCGCTGCCAGTAGAAGGTGGGTCAATGTTCTCTTTAGCGTTTTTTCGCCAGATCTTCAGCCTTTCGTAAAACATGAACTGCAGCGCTCCATGCGTAACGCCGAAAAGGGCCGGCACCAATCCCCGGAACAGACCTCTGGTCCCCTCGTCCCGGATTATGATGCGAAGCCCGTTGGTCATGGATGAGTACGCTCCCGGAGATGACCGACCCGTGGAGAGCATACGAGTCTTGATGACCCAGAGAGGATTTGATAATACAGCTGTACAGACCCCCGCGGCCCCGGAGGAGAGAAGGTAATCGAGAGAGTCCAGTCCTTCATCTCTTGCTATCCCGCGATAGCCGGCTATGATATTTTTGAACTCGCCGTAACTATATGTGTGATTTGTTGTGTCACAACATATTAATTAGGAACTGGACTTCTGCATCAAAGATATTTTCAATGGGGAGTAACAATAGGTAATTGTTTTTATACATATTTATTACGTATAAACCTCTTTGTATTTTTGGGGGGCGAGGGTGAAATAATGGAGGATGCAAAGCCAGAAGGAGTAGTGGTAGACGTACAGCATGAAATACATACTCCAGCTCGCCATATTCCCAACCAGGTTCGGTGACAGACCTCTATAGAGGGCCCCACGCCCTTCATTCATTGCCACATCTCGGGCGATTCTCCAGGAGGCCCCGAGCCGTGGAGCTTTGTAGTCCCTGTTCACTGTTGACCTCGAAGTCCCCTTATATCTCAGCGTCCTGGTTCGCTCGTGGTTGGCCGGGGGTGGGGGTAAAGAATGAAGGGTTTGGGGGAGGGACCTTGCAGCCGGACCTTGATGAGATCAAGAGGGTGCGCTACGAGTGTCGAAAGCAGGCCAGCAGTCAGGCCGGAAATGGTCTCCACCAGAACGGGGGGGATCCCATTCTGGGGTGCGCTCATGAAGGGTTGTTAAGGTCGCGTGGTGCTTTCGGTCTATCTGTCTCTTTCCCTGAGTGCACGTGGCAATTTGCGGTCCGGTGAGGTTTGAGGCGTGAGAATATGCGACGGGGGAGAAGTTTTCCTAGGAGAGGATGTTGGAATAAAGTGCAAGGTGCGATGCGAGGGGGAATTGCGGGGTGGGAGGGTTTTCGTCGGAAATAATTTTTTTTTTCGGAATGATGTGTTCTAGCATGAGAGAGAGCCGCAAAGTGACATCACCGCCTAGAAAAAATGTATCCTGCCTTACCAATAAAGCCCACAAAATGCGATAAAAAAGCAACTGGGAAGAAGAAGGGAGATGAATGTTTTATTTTTTACCGGGTGCTTGCTTTTCTTGAAATATCTTTAATTTTTTACAAAAACCTGAAAAAAAAGAAAGCAACACAGTTGTGCAATAACGCCCTACCATATTCCTAATCATCCATTCGGAACTCAGCACGTAACAAATGTACATACATCTTCTACGCCAATGGTGAGATCAAGCTATGTAATGGCCCGATTAGTTGCAACTCATGATTATCGAGAGGACAGGAGGGTGCAGTTATTACCGGATCAACGAAGGTCTCGGGGTGCTGCAGGTGTATCCTGCGTTAAAGAACAGGGTCAGCAAGCGAGTCCCTCCATACGAAATCATATCCGTCGATATGCAGCGATGTGCAATATAGAGGGATTGGATGGTAGAGATAGATATACCGATGTAGAGGACAAGCGGAAGATATCCACTGTTGCCGTCCATATATGTAAGTATAAATTTGTAACTTATACAACCAAAAATATTTGCTTGTCTGCGGAAGAGGAATGACTGACTAGTGGATAGCCACGCGGGAGATTTCAAGGACCTTGGAGATACGCTCCTGTTGATTTACATCGTCAGCGGAGGGGTAATTATCATGAGATGTCATGAGACAGATAGACAAGAGAGTGCAGAGGGGATACGGAAAGGCGCTCGTATGTTGGGGGAAGCTATGGGAATACCTTGGATTCTTCTGAGAGCTGCATGATGCTTGGAATCAGTCGATTGAGACGCTGGCTTTTCGCTTGACTGTTATCCATTGTCTGTCAGCAGGTCGAATATCAAGCGAAACCTCAGGTAGTTCGAGGGGGTATGGATGAGATTAAGATAGTAGTTTCAGAAGGGTGGTGGAGGAGGAGGGGCAACTGACGGGGGGTAGTAAGATCGCGTATCTTGAATTTCCGAGGTCGTGATGGTGTCGTTATGGTGATGATGTCGCTAAAGTCAAGAAAGCCCGAGAAAAAAAAGCTTGGCCCCGCCTCGTGAGACGATAGACCGATAAGGGGACCAATGACTAAGATATGTTTCGCCAAGCTATCCCTCGTTTGGGGCTCTGCGGGATGAAAGCCAGCCAACACCACGCCGACGTCAGATGGAGTCTACTTGTGACCATCACCAACTTCCTCAGCTCCCCATAAACATTTGTCCGGCAAGAGAAATGTCTCAAGGTGTGTTTGCAATATCAATTCTTGCAAAGCAATAATAGCTGCTGACTGCCATTCGAGAAGGACAGATACAGATTCCGCTAAAAGAATACCTTGCGATAACGACCAAGCAATGCTCAAAGTGAGGCTCTCTTTCCATTCGTTTGAACACCTGTTCAAATTTCAGCTAACATCCTCCCACCTAGTTGGTCATTCACCCAGGGTCTACTTCTTGGGCAAATATCAGTCATCTTCATAATAGGGTGCTTCATCAAATTCTTCATATTTGGTGAAACTCCAGATTCTCCTTCTCATTCAAAGTACGCCTCGGCATACTCCCCCAAACGCTCCCGGAGATCCTCAAACCTCCGCAAGAAACGATCCTCAGTTCTCCGGAATCCGCCACCGCAAACAACTTCTACCATCCTCTCAAAGACATACTACAATGTGCACTCCCACCAGCCAGAATCGCTCGATTGGTTCAATGTACTCCTCGCGCAAACATTCGCTCAATTCCGTGAAGATGCACGAACCGACGACGCAATTCTGAAATCCCTAGACAAAATCCTGAACGGGCCCCAAAAGCCCGATTTCTTGGACTCAATTCGTGTAACGGAAGTATCCCTTGGTGAAGACTTCCCCATATTCTCCAATTGCAGAATTACCCCCAGCGAGGAAGATCCCGGGAAGCTTCAGGCGAAGATGGACGTAGACCTGAGCGACCTTATCACGCTAGGTGTTGAAACCAAACTACTACTCAACTGGCCGAAGCCCATGGTTGCCGTACTCCCAGTGGCGCTTGCTGTGTCCATAGTCCGGTTTTCCGGAACACTGTCGATATCTTTCGTCCCATCTCCTGAGAATTCTACAGGGAACACCACCCTGACATTTAGTTTCCTTGACGACTACCGGCTTGAGATCTCTGTGCGTAGTTTGGTGGGGTCCAGGTCGAGATTGCAGGACGTTCCAAAAATTGCTCAGTTGGTAGAGAGCAGGCTGCATAGCTGGATTGATGAGAGATGTGTTGAACCAAAGTTTCAGCAGATAGTGCTGCCCTCATTGTGGCCTAGAAAACGGACCACAAGGGAACAGGGTCGAGCTGGTGATGTAGGCGAAGAAAGCGGAACCGAGGGTATCAGGCGAAGGCCAACGTCGTCGGTGGACCTTTAAAAAGTTTAATTTGTATCAGTTATTTTCTTTTTTCCCCCTTCATTTTCCTTGTTTTGAATTCCATAGCGGTAGCATCCAGGATGAATATAGAGTACGATTCCCATCAAATATATAAACAGTAAACATTTTAAAGTGTACGTGGCCAAAAATGAGGGGAAGGGTTTGTGTCAAACCAAAAAGCGTGAAACTGTCGCACGAGGTATCACTCGTTTGTTCACGTGCTGCCGCGCTAGTGTGGTATCACTAGGATCGCTCACGGTCATTGCAATTGGATGATGATATGAATCTTCGCACCTTCGCACGCTGCACAAAGACACCTCACTATCTTCCCCTTTACATCGAGCCAAGGAAAAAAACAAAACAAGAAGAAATAAATGCCAGAAAAGAAATAAATATAAAAAAAAAATGAAATTTAACACATGCTAAAAGCAGATCACCCAAATTTTCTCCTGCCTCCCCTGCTCGTACCTGGTTGAAAATACGAAATATTACAAGAGACGTAAAGGCATTACTACCATCGCCAACTACTGGAACATACCAGCGGTGCTATCCTAACCTATCGTATCCTAAAACTACACTGGCCCTCTGTCCCCCGAGCGTCCTACAAGGTGTCCATACTTTCTTCATCCTTCACTACGCGCCCTGTAGTGTCTGTTGGCACTTCCTCATCAGGAACACCGAACTTCCTGTTGAAAGCTCTAAGCCACCCCTTTGCCCACCACTGCATCCATGCCTTGCTCTCTACATCAATGCCATCCATCTCCTCTGAGCTCTCGGCCATGGCGCTAAGAGACTCTGTGACCACCTTAAGTATGACGCCTTGCTCCTCCTCAGCGCCTTTCAGTGTCTCGTCGTACACTGCCAACTGCTCCTCTGTGAACCCGCTTCCACTGCCAAGCATTGCCGGTCTAGCGGCAGCAATTTGTCGGACACGGTTGTTCACCTTGTTGATAGTGGTGCTGACCATCTCCCAGGCATGTGTATGGCTGAGGGCGTTGTTCCCAGCGTCGTGAAGGACCCACTCTACAACTGAGAGGGGAGTCACGATAGAGTAGTTCAACAGCTTATCAACGACGTTTGCTCCAATACCCGGCTGGTCTTCCCAGTAAGATAGAACGGAGCCGACGATTTGCCGGCGGGCATCGGGGGATTCGAGGCCGATGGCGACGAGCTTTTCTTTGCAGCGCTCTATGCAGGAGAGGACATGGGAGAGAGATTTGGCTCCAACGTGACAGATGGCGGTTACATAGGCATCACGAGTGACAGAATCTGGATCTGCAACACCACTCTCAGCGGCGAGAGAGCGGATGCGGCCAAGAATCTCATCGACCTCTTCAATTTCTTTGCGGTCTGCTACGGCGTGCATCACCTCCTTGGCCTCTGCAGCAAAGGGCTCATCTTTGGGACTGTTAGTTCGACTGTTAAGAGGCGAAAAAAATTGGGTAAAGGTTACGTACCGGGAGAGTCATATTTGAAGTTTGGCTGTTCCATCTCCTTGGCCTCTGAGATGAGCTCCTTGTAAGCTTCCGGAACAGTTCCCTTGATTCGTGTTGCGAACGAAAGTCGGATTTCCTTCTCCAAAGCACCCAAGATGAATGCCTTTTTGGGGTGCACATCCGGGAGGGTGAGGTTCTCATTCCATTCCGCCCATTTCCAGGTGAATCCGAAATTACTCAAATGGTGCGAGAACCAGTCAATAAACCGGTAGATCAGCTCGGTGTCCATGGACTCCAGATTCCTGTGCATAAAACGGATGGCTCTTCCCAATGAAGGAGCTACAGCGGCCGGCGCAAGTTTACACAATTCTGTTAGAATCGAGTGGTAATATACTAGTTTGTGGTTAGGGGCAGGAAGCTTGAAAAGCTGGCTGAAAATCGCATCTACAGCTACATCTTCGGGTTTCCATGAGGACCCGGTTTCACCTGCGGTTTCGTTGACCCTGTCGAAAGGAGTTGCCCTCTTGATGAATGCTTTTGGTGAAAAGAAGCAGTCGATTTCAATCAAGAAACGAGAAACTGAAAGACGGTTGCAGTCTAGAATGTTGATAGTGTCTACGATGTTATCTCGGAAGATTGTAGAGGCAAGATCCAGAGGAGTTGGAACAGTCTTAAAGGGTGATTAGAAACAATTCAAATACCAGAAGAGACTCTCTAATGCTTACCTCGACTTTTGGATCCGCAAAGACGGAGAGGTATACGTCTGGGAGGATTGCGTTTTTGTCGACGGGGAACTCTTCTGGGATGGTTATTTCTGGCAAAGCGTGCTGCGCCGCCTCCTTGAGTACCTCCTCAAATGTTTCCCATGGTCGTGGCAGAGAGCCCAAACCTGTGTGTTCTCCGCCCGGCACTCCCTTGAGATGTGTCTCTATGTTTATTTGGAGCATTCGCACCATCTTTTTTCGCAAAAGTTAGACTCTTAACATATCCCTGAAAAGAAATTGCGGGGGAACCCTTACATGTGTTCCCTTTGCCCGGTCATCGTATGGTGCTGCATCTCCAGTAAATGGGTTTAGTAATGACTGCATTTTATGCCTAACCTCAGTAAGAGGACGGGTCTTGTCCAATAGCTTATTAATCGGCTCAATATCCGCTCTTGACGACGCCAGAATATATGGGACCGAGAATAACGCCGACTTTGTGAGCTCGAGCGCCAATCCCACATCGCCATCGGCCATCACGGACTCAGCCTTGTTGAGGACACTGTGAAGCAATGGGAATACACCCTCTCCCTCTAGCATGCCATGAACACATCCCAGAAATCGTAGGGTCAGCTTCAACTTTGTGAATTGACCATCAATGAGGAATTGCTGGACAGCCTTTCCGGCTTCCTCGACAATGAGCTTTCCGGCCTCTGGATTCTGGGAATTGGCAACAAGAGCCACCGCGCCGACAAAAGGGATCTTGAAAGGCTGCTCGATTACACTAGAGAACGCGTCAGGACTTTGTAGCCGGGATCAAATACGAAAATTCTAGAACTCACAGCGCGAGAAGAGTGCCCAAGAAACCGTTCCTGAGGTCTTCGTTCTCAAAGTGACTCGTAAACGTGGTTGCGATGTTTTTCACAACGTCGCCAATACGGGCCAAGGGCTATTCGCGTGTTAGATTTTGTATTGAATATGCCCTTCCCTTCTTCGGGGGTTTTGGAGTAACATACAGACTCTGCGATGGTCGTGAGCTCCCTCCGGAGCTTCGAGAACGCATCCTCCCTCTCGTAACGGTTCGAGCGCCGGTATTCCCCTTGCTGGTCGTCATCGTCTTCACGGAGCTGTCAGTAAGCCACAGCACGTCATTATCCCCCAAGAATCCAGACGAACCTCTGTACCGCTTCCTCTGCCCGGGTCCTCTCCCACCGCGTCTCCCACCACCACCGCCGCCGCCTCCTCCACCACCACCACCTCCTCCTCCACTACCTCCACCACCACCACCTCCACCGCCTCCGCCGCCGCCTTCTCCTCCACGGTAGTAGTCGCCCATTTCTGATTCGTAATTGACCCTTTTTTGAGGAGGATTGTGTTGTTGATTTTCTCCGGCTGTGATGGTTACGCTGCTGTCCTTCGCTGTGTTAGAAGGGCGTTTTTGACCAGGGAACCGCGTTTCGAATGGTATTCGCGCATTCCCTTGGCACTGCATGCTGAGTCAGCAGCAAGGAAACCGTTTTTTCTTCCCTCACGAAGCAACAAATTTAAATGTTTCACTAGATCTTCTACCCTCTGGGAAACCCTCATCCCCACCCCTTTCCCTTTTACAATATCGAGACGGTGCAGTAAACATAATCACATCAATGGGCACTGTGCAGGAGGAAGCTACGCTGCCGATAACGGTCGAGTTCAGGTTCGACGACCGATTAATTTTCCCACACTAGACTAGCCAGGGCTAATTTAAGCTACATCCTTCTTGTTGCAGCGGTGGGCTGGAGCTACTATTCTCAAAGCAGAAGACTCATCAGGTGCAAATCCCGGCCAGCGACCCCTCGGGGAAGCCCGCCAATGTGGGGTTCTTGGTGGGCTGGTTGTGCGATAACCTGATGGTGGATAAGCGGAAGGATATGTTTGTTATGGATGGCACTGTGTAGGTTTTTTTTTGTCTTTTTGTGTTCTTTGTCTGTGTTGTTGTGACTAACCTACCTAGTCGAAATGGAATCCTGGTACTGATTAATGACTCCGATTGGGAGCTGGAAGGTGAGGATGAGTATGTTCTTGAGAAGGGAGATAACATCCTCTTTGTCTCAACTCTGCACGGGGGGTAGTTATCGGTTCGAGGTTGGGGGTCCGGGGCTTTTCTTTCTTACTATACCTTGTCTACATGTTTGTAATATCCCATAGTTAGAATAACAAGCCTTCTTGGGGACCTATTTCCAGAATCCTTGACCGACCTAGTGTGGCGAGTGATTTCCTGTGATCCGAAAACAAACATCCCCTCAAACATCAACCAACACCTTGTACGGGTCGTCCCGGGAAATAAACTCCTGATCTTTTGCGCCATTACTCGAATCACCCCACTGGCCAACAGATCAACTCTATTCACAAAGCTGGCGAACGGGCACACACGCATCACCAGGTAACTTTCAGTACCCCATCCATTCAATTACCAGCACCCTTCGTACTCTTCACCCCGCATCAACGCCGCACCCTAGGCCTACCCACTCACAGACTTCAGATCAAGCACTCTATCTCTATGTAGACCTGATACCATACACGGGCTGGTATTCCAGCCTTGGAAACCACACTTGGCTGGGTCAACAGGGTAAGAGGGGTCGGCCCACACCATGAATGAAGCTTCACCCCCCCCCCCCCCCCCCCCCACAATCCGAGCTCGCGTCTCGTCTTAGATACATGTACCTACATAGAACCGTAATATATTATACATCAGGACTACATGTACGAAGAAGAGTGAAACCCCGTCACAGCTACCTTCACAAGCCATCACTCGGTCTTGGCCAAGAAACGCAGTACTAGTGGCCATGACTACCATCGAGTCTTGAGTTCAGCCATAGAATTACTCCACCCACCCATCCCAGCTATTCAAGCTGGTGCTACAAGTATGAATGGCTCGTGGTCTGTGGCGGATGTGCACGCTTTTAAATTTATGTGTGATGAATGGGTTCTGAGATATTGGGAATAGGGGCGGGGTACAGGGTGGTAATGATATTCCAACCCATACGTCAACCCACCTCCACCTCCACCTCCACCTCCACCTCCGCTCCTGCTCTTAACCAGCACACCCCCCACCACCCCCACCTCTACCACCCTCACAAACCCAATACCTTCACCCCCTCCCACCCACTTCCACATACCCGCCACACCCCACCACGTCCACCCTTGCCCAGCACGCCCAATAATCACCGAAACCTGCCGCTATACCTTCCATCGGCAGTCCACACAGCACACCATATCGATTACTGACTGCCTGACTGACTGATCCGATACTCTAGCACCACCAACGACCAACGACGAACACACCACAACCACAGAAACCACACCCACACCCACAGAAAGAATACCGAACCACAACCACAACCACAAGCACAGAAACAGAAGCAATACCTAACCATGCCAATGCCAATGCCAATGCCAATGCCACTACATAGCAACAACAACAACAATAATAATACCACAAGAATGAGCAAGAGAAATTTAAAACGGAAAAAAAAAAAAAAGGAGAGAGAGAAAAAAACAGCCCGATACGCCCTACAAGCAAGCCCTATCTGAGAAAGAAGTAGAGAAGAAGGGGATTATAACAGCAAGAGGAAAATTAACGAGAAATGAATACAGAGCAAGATAAAAGAGACAGAAGCAAGAAAACACGTTCCTAACTAGCTACCAACAGCGAGAGCAGGCAGGCAGGCAGAAAGAATACATATACCACCCAGCACCACCCCTCCCCCTCACCGCCGCCGCGGCGCCTAATACCGCTGTTCTTCCAGCCTAAGCCCTTGCAATCCAAAGCACAGTTCAGCCTTCCTGTCCACCCTACAAGCACCAAAGCACACAAAGGGACAAAAGCAAAAAAAAAAGAAGAAAAAAAGCAATATTCACCCAAAATCACTCGCGCGCTGCTGCTGCTGCTGCTCCTCGCCCAGCATCTGCTGGTGCCTCGTGAGATTCGCCAGCACCGCGCCGCGCATCTCTTCATTGACGTGCCGCTGCCGCATGGCGTCGAATTCGTTGCCTTTGCGTGCTAGACAATCTGCGCTCCCCCAGTCTTATCAGCCACCTGCTCCGCCGCGCCCACCAGAAGGATAGGACGACAGAAAGAAAGAAAGACTCACCAGCATACATCTCCCCCCCCATCAAACTCCACAACCCATCCCGCCCCTTCATCGCATTCTGCAGCGCCGCCCTCGCACTCTTCTCCGCCTGCTCACTCACCACGCCCGTAAAGAACCGCTGACACATAAAGTTGAGCACAATATACGTCATCTGCTGATTCGCGCACTGCGTCGCCAGCTGCAGCGCCACGCTCAGCCAATTCTTCGTCTTGACCAGCTCGCCCCTCTCCGTGGCCTTCACACACGTATACGCGGCCCTCAACAGCCCATTCTTCGTCGCGCCGCACGCCTTCTCCACCCCCGCCAGCAGCGCCTCGGCCCTCACGGGGTCCACGGGCCGCAGGATCAGCACGCTGTTGAGCGTGCTGATGAGCGCGAGCTCGGCGTCGGGCGCGTGCGAGGCTGTGATGGCCGTGTAGCACGAGAGCGCGAGCGGCAGCGCGTTGGTGCCCTGGTAGATGGTGGCCTGCAGGTACAGGATGAGGGCGCCGAGCGGCGGCGGTTGTGTGGGGAGGGCCGAGAAGGCGTCGCGCAGCGCGTTGAAGCCCTTGATGGCGCCGTCCCACTCGGTGCGCACGCACAGCAGGAAGGTGTGGTAGAGCTGGATGTAGCAGCGGAGGGTCTGGCGCCAGACGGTCTTTTCCGTTGCCGCCACGAGCGTCGACGGCCCGGCGGGTGTTGTGGTGGAGGTGGAGTCCGGCTGCTGCTGCAGCAGGCGGTCGATGCTGCGGAGGCCCTCCTGCAGGAAGCGCTCGGCCTTGCCGGCCTCGTCGACGTTCTTCTGGAACTTGCACAGGCCGCTGATGAAGTACCCGACGATGAAGACGTCGTCCTTCGTCAGCCACGTGAAGCTCAGCGTCTCCACGGGCCTCCCCAGCCGCGGCGGGTTCACGGGGATCACAAACTCGCCGCTCTCGGCCCAGGCCGCCCAGCGCTCCTTCGAGTCGAGCATGTGGTGCAGCACCTTCATCTTGCCCTCGCTCTCGGCCGTGCGGCCGAGCATCAGCGAGCACACGATGTCCATCACCTGGCGCAGCACGGCCAGCTGCGCCACCGTCTCGTCGGCCTCCGTCTGGATGCTGTTCGCCTTTGCGAGCGCGCGCTGGGCCGCCTCGACGCCGTCCGTGCCCGCCTGGATGGAGATCATGGCCTCCATGAGGTTTGCGAGCGCGAAGATGGCGAGGTCGCGGCGGCCGTGGGCCGTGTTGGAGATCTTCTGGAGGGTGGTGATGGCTGAGGCGATGTCGTGGATGGGGGAGGAGGGGTCGGTGAGCATGCTGACGCGCAGGAAGCGGAAGCTGTAGGTGTGGTGCGGCATGTCGAGGGTTTCGGACTCGGTGATGCAGGTGTTGAGCATTTTGAGGGAGGCCTTGGGCGTGGTGCGGAGCATGATGCGGGCGAGCAGGTGCTGCATGCGGTGCTTGAGGTCTGTAAGGCTGTTCTGTGCGCGCGGGGTCAGTCTCTGTCTCTGTCCGCCTCTCTCTCTCTGTGTGTGTCTGCCGGGGAGGGAGCTCATCGAAGCAGCTCAAGGCCAACGCCAACGTCAATGATCAGAACAGGAAACCCTACTCTCTGCGCCAACATAATCTACCCGCGCCACAGCACACCCATTAGCCCAGTCCACCCCCAAATCCCCTTCATCCCCCTTCACCCCCCAATCCCCCCCCAGCACACACAGAGAAAGAGAAAAACTCACCCCCTTATTCAGCGCGCCCTCCGCCTCATCGCCATTCTCCGTCTCCTCATGCAGCACCCCGGCATACCTCAACCTCACCAGCGCCTCCATCCTCGGCTGCAGCCGTCCCCCGCCTCCCAGCGCCGCCTCAAAACACCGCAGCCCCGTCGCAACAAGCGCATAATACTCCCTCTCCTCCTCGCCCCCACCAGCGGCGCGGTACCCCCCCGCATGCGCAGCCTCAAGATACGACTCTGCGAGCGACACCAGCAGCAGGTCTGCGCTCGCCGGCGCGGTGGGGGTCGGGGTGGGCCAGCGCGGCGAGGCCTGCGGCGCGCTGATGTCGAAGTTGGTGTATGTTGTTGGCCACTGCTGCTGGACGGGGGTTGTGGGCTGGGCGTAGGGGTGCTGCGGGTGCGGGTGGGAGGGGGGGGTGTAGCTGGTGCTGTGGGTGCTGTGGGTGCTGTGGGTGCTGTGGGTGCTGTGGTTGCTGCTGCTGCCGGGGTCGACGGGGTACCATCCGCCGGCGTTTGGGGCTGTCATGGCCGGTGCATATGATGGGGGCGGGCTGGCTTGCTGGCTGTCTGTCTGTGTGTGTGTGTGTGTGTGTGTGTGGAGCGGAGTGGATGGATGGCGGTGGGTGTGTATGTGGAGTGTGAGTGTGAGAGAGAGAGAGAGAGAGAAGAGAGAGAGCGTGGGTGTCGAGAGTTCGTGTGGTGCGGATTGATGTCTGAAGCCGCGTAGAGGTAACGTGGGGATGACTAATGCGCCCACCAGATCGACCGGGGCTCTAAAAGAAGCAGCAGCGTGGGGGAAAAGGCAATTGTAGAAATTCAAGCTTTTGGTGGCGCCGCACTGCAGCGGGCGCTGATATGATGGTAGCTTTTATCAGTAGATCTCGAGTAGATGGTAGCTTTTATCAGTAGATCTCGAGTCGATGTCCCCTTGGATCTTGATAGATCTTCGAGTGAGTGAGCGAGTGAGGAATGGCACCTCCGGGTTGTCCTTTACTAGACAGATCTGGACAGGAACAGCTGCTCTCCGCCCGCCATCCATGTACTTTACTTCTCTAGCACAAACAGGTGCCTGCCGGGCATCCACAGACCATGAACCGTATACATCTCCTATCTCCCACAAGTTATCGACCCCCCCCCCCCCCCCCACCCCCGATGTTTCCCAGCGGCGCGTGCAGATGTCTGCATATATCCACTTATCTGCGGCTGCGCTTCAATTGCAGTATAGCCCACGATGTCTGAGATATGCACAGAGGTACAGCGCAACTATACATAGATAGATTCCCAACAAATATCAATCCACAGAGCTTCGATTCAAGTCTCCGATGGTGCCCCAAAACTCTCCGCTGCCGGACCCCGATCGTGCTAGTGTGGTTTAGCATTCCTTCGTACTCGTACCTTCCCTTTTGTCACATGTTCTGACATCGGCCCGGAGGTCCCTTGGAGATGCTCCGGGTTCCCCCTGTAGATTTTATTGCAACATCACAGCAAGAGCAGATATATAACTGCATTGCTCTCTCCACCCGGAGAAGCTATTGACTATTCTTTATATACATATAGAACAATTATTATACATCCACTCATTAATCACCCCACTCGCTCACCCTCCACAATGCCCTTCGGCCTCCCCTCCCCCCCCTCCTTCCACCACGCCCTAAAAACCATCCTCCTCCACTCCAAGTCCACCACCACCGCCACCGCCGCTCCCACCCCACTCTCCGCCTTCATCCCCCCGCTGGTCCCCACCTTCTACGCCAACCCCCTCCTCTTCAACGGCCACCTGCAGACCTGCTACACCGCCATCAAGGGCACCGACCCCTACGCCGTCCACTATGCCCGCCGCCACCTCATAAACCCCAACGACGGCGGCCACTTCGCCGTCGACTTTGCCGTCGACCCCTTCGACCCCCTCCCGCCCGCCGACGACCTCCCCGAGCGCACGCGCCACATGCCGCCCGAAACACAGCTGGCCAGCGACGACGACACGCCCATGCTCGTCGCCCTCCACGGCCTCAGCGGCGGCAGCCACGAGGTCTATCTCCGCGCCGTGCTGGCGCCGCTGATGACCGCCGGCGGCTGGGCGGCGTGCGTGGTCAATGCGCGTGGGTGCGCGAAGAGCAAGATCACGACGAAGCAGCTGTTCAATGCGAGGTTCACGGAGGACCTTAGGGTCACGGTGGGGTATCTGAAGAAGACGTTTCCCAATAGGCCGTTGTATGTCATGGGCTTCTCGCTCGGCGCAAACATCTTGACGAATGTGGGTGCTGCGATCATTTCCCCCACTCCCAATTGTTAAGTAAATGCAGCTGGGGGGCTAACGAACAAACGCAGTATCTGGCAGAGGAGGGGGACAAGTGTGTGTTCAAGGCCGCGATTGTCTGCTCAAATCCATGGAACCTCGAGCTCTGCTGCAAGAACCTCCACCGCACCTATCTCGGCCAGATGTACTCCCGAGTCATGGGCGAGTGCGTCCACCCCTCCCCTCCCCCCAAATTACTCAAATCTCTAACATGTCCACAGAAACCTCAAACGTCTCTTCGAGCAGCACGTCCACAACCTCGACCTCCCCGCCGCGCAGGTCGCCGCCGTGCGCGCCGGCGTCCTCATGGACGACTTTGACCGCGCCCTCACCAGCAAGGTCTTCGGCTACGCGACGGTCGGCGCCTACTACCGCGACGCCTCGTCGGTCGACAACTTGCTCAAGGTGCGGGTGCCGACGTTCATCATCCACGCCCGGGACGATCCGATTGCGTGTGACGAGGCGGCGCCGTACGAGGAGGTGCAGGCGACGCCATGGTGCGTCATGGTCACGACGGGGGTCGGCGGGCATCTTAGTTGGTTTGAGCTTGGTGGAGGGCGGTGGTTCGCCGGTGTGGTGAGTTTTTTTGTTGTTGTTGTGTGTGTACCTTTGGAGAGTGTAGGATGGTTACTGATGTGGTGTGCTTGTGGGGTAGATTGTGGACTTCTTGAAGAAGTTTGAGAATGAGGTTGCGGGAGTGGCCGAAGCTGCGGAGCCGGATCATGATGGCGAGGACTTTGATGTAGTTATGCAGTCGGACGCAGCGGCGTCCGATGCCTCCAAAGAACTGTAGTGGACTGTATTGTGGGTATATATGCAGTCTTGCTGACCCTCCCCCCCCACCCACTGCAGTTATATAACTAACATGAAGTATTGGGTCAAGATGAATTATTGTTATGATACCAGATTAGATAGACCGGGATTGCGCCCTTCTTTGTTTTTCTTTCTTTTTTTTCTTTTTCTCCTTTTCCCCCTTCCTTTCTTGGCGTGTTTTAAACGGCGTCCTATGGGGGCGAATGGCCATGCGGTTGCTTGGTTGGTTGGTTTTGTTGCGTGGAGCTGGGTTTAAACCCGTTCATGTGCTGTCACTCGGCTGACTGGCCGGATCCTCGACGGTGCCCAAGTCGTAGATAGAGGTTATGGGTTTGGTTGTTGGATTTTGTAAAGCCGAATATATATATAGGCCCTGGTGATTGTAGGCTAGCCTGCTATACGTTACCCTGGAGAATCATCTATCATTGGTCTGGCTAGATCTCCGGGGCGGTATGTAGTTAGCCCCACCTACAACAAACCCCGCCTGTGGTTTCAGGAGCGGCTTCTACTGAATGTCAGTTCCCGGCTAGAGGCGTAGAAAGAGATAGTAATGATAAAAGAAGGGGATATATACCGTTATTTGCTGTGGTGTGTGTGGATGGATGGTCCGAGTGAGCGGCTGTGAAGAAGCATGCCAATCGGTCACCCGGTTTCCCAATTAAGCCACGAAGTTATCCAAGAGAGGCCCTGAACAGATCGAAGAGTTGGGCGAGAATTGCTCCCCGGTTCTTGATCTCACGTTCCATTCATGGGAGTGGATTGTCGTTTGCGGCTTGGAATGCCGCGTGCAGACGTCGGTTTCGATATAAGGTCTAAAGCGTAACATGTATCCATGGTTATAGTGCGTAATGAATTAGTTAGATGCTGGAGAGGAATAATTTGATGGGTTATGTCACCTAGTTCCCGATTGGCGGCCCAGTCTGTAATCGAGTTCTTCATTACATACATGTAAGTGGTTAGTGTCGGCTCTGCAAGTATAATTGTAAAATATGGGCGTAGAAGACTGCCCACCAGGTTCGGCATCATGTGTTAGAGTTTCTGGTAGGAATATTGTATGTATGGGAGGTTTCTCGGCAGAAGTAACATCATAGACGATGGTTCTATTAAGAGGTTCGGAGGAAGTCTCGCTAAATACTCTGCTAACTGACCCCTATGCCATGCTAATACCACGTGTCCGCCACGACATCTTCAACACATTTTGAACAGATCTCTGTAACTACTAACGGCGGTGCGGTGTTGAGAAGCGATGGGGGAGGTGATCTGTCAGGATCGGGCGAGGAAATGACCAAAACCTAATCCAAACTAGCTACCTTGAGCTTTGTCTGTGGGGATACCTGTCTGTAAAACTCTGTCTACAGATATGTAACTCTAATGGACCGACGCGACATCTTTACAATAGTAAGATTCGACTGCAGAACCACCAACATCCTTCAGTCTTCTTTGGCCCCACAGTAGTGGAAGATCCATTATACAACCACTGGCCTCCAATTCCAGAGGGAATGGGAGGCTGTCAATCTCTCCTGCAATATCAAAATGTTTCTCGGTTGTTCAGCTCGGTGGAGAACGTCTCTCGACAGCCACCGTTCCCAGGTTTGGTTAGGGCTAGGGTTGTATCGAACACTACCACGCATATGTAAACCAACATCAGTGACAGCTGATCGTTGATCGGCTTATGTTTGAGGCTTGGTTTCTGAAAACAAAGCAGAGAATGAAGGGCCTTTCCAGAAGAGAGTACAGTGCTTTGTGGCCATAAACATGGTTCCGGTTGTTGCTGTGTCGAGGTCAATGATCGTTTGACCACCTTTTACTATCCCACTAGTAGTTCCACAAGATGCGGAAGTAATACTCACCTCGCCAGCATTAAATTGCCGCTTACCTAATATTTTCACGCAGTTTTAGAGCAGTTTCCTACCAGGTTTTCCTTAATAAGCGGCAATTTAATTCTGGCACTGTGAGTACACTGCTTCGTTCCAAATACGCTTTTGATTCACTTTATGGGTTATATTCTGCGGTGCTGCCATATTAGTTTCAACTTTTCAGTGCTGTCGATACCTAACGCCTTTTATTTTTGATTTGATCTCCCATAATTCCCTCCCGCACAGGACGTCATTAAGCATATGATATATATGATACAAAGTAAAGGTACGCAATTTTACAAAGAGAAGAAGAAAACGAGAAGCAAACACAAAGGACCCAAAACAATAAATACTTTTTTTTTTAGTCTCAAGCGAATGCGACTTTTTTCGCTCCAGACTTCTTCTGGATGTAGGCCTTTGCTGCCGATTTGACCTTGTCGCCGTCTTCATCGCTCTTCCGTTTGCGCTTGTTGCGGATGGCGTCTTTGGCGGTCTCCATCTTGGATTTCCTCTGCTCGTTGCGCGCCTCCTCTTCTTTGCGGCGGGCTTCGCGGATCTCTTCGAGTTTGCGCTGTGATACTGTGTTAGCGCAATTAAACCAATGTGTAACAATACGAAGAGGCGTACCGAGCGCTCAAGCTTAGACTGGATCTGTCCATCCTTCGAATCATTGACTCTCAACAAAATCGACATCATCTTGTCCTACACACGCACTACCAATTAGCCCTCTTCCCCTCTTCCCCACCTATCCCCTCAATTCCCACATACCTTGTCTTCCACAAACACCTTCCCCTTCTTCTTCCCCTTCGGCTGGACCACGCCCGCAGGCGTGATCATATTCAGCTTCGGCAGCTCCTTCTCCAGCTTCGCCAGGTCCGCCTCACGCCTCTTCTTCGGGTCCTTCTTCTTCCCAATCTGCGCTACACCCGCGGTCGTGTGTGTCTTCTTGACGAACTTGCGCTTCTGCTTCGGCGCCGGCGTCGACAGGTCCTGCTTTTTGTTCTTGTTGCCTGCGGCGCCCGGTTTCTTGGCGGCGCCGGGCTTTTTGGAGAGGGTTTTGGAGTTGCTGCCGGCAGGTTTGGAGGCGCCGCGTGTGGTTCCCATTGTTGAATTTGCTGTAGGGGGGTGGTGTTAACTGGGTGGGTGGTGGGTGGTGGGGGTAATAGTCGGTGGTGAGCTTGGAGAAAAGTTTCGTGAGGCTTAAAGTTTGCTTGTGTTACCGTCGTGGGTTGGATGGGTTAGGGTTTCTAGGTTACCCGGAGAAGGGGGTGCGCTCATCAGGCGTCACTCGGTGCTTGGGAGGGTTTGTGACAGGGGGGGTGGGCGGTTTTTCTTTCACGGATAAAAGAGTGTTTCTAGGCACTTCTGTACGTCCCCCCAGAGACATGTCACAGGATTCACTATGTGACGGAAGAAAGATGTCACAGAAGACTATTTTGACTTCTCGGCGGACCAGGGCTTTCAGGAAAACTTTATTGTCCGGTTATCGAAACTTTCGAGTTTGTGTTCAGGGAAATCTTTTTTCTCTGTAGGACATGTGCACAGCATGAGCGCCATGAGGCTCTAGCTTCTTTGTTTCCCCCTGGGGCCCTTAACTATTTTCGGCTCGTTCCGGAACAGAGGACGTTGAGAAAAACTTTTGAATGAGTCACGAGTCCGAGGAGGGCTCAAGTAGCAAACGTTGACTATTGTTCTCACAGCAACATGGCGCAGCGGAAGCGCGCCGGGCTCATAACCCGGAGGTCCCTCGATCGAAACGAGGTGTTGCTATCAAGTTCAATCCCGAGTGCCTGCACTTGGGTTTCTTTTTTTCATATATTTATTTTTTCCTGATGAGCTCATCAGGTACTACAAAGTAACAATACTACTATGCCTGTCTTACTTAATTAATCTAACCTTGCGCTAGAGTAAATCGGTTCCCGTTTGCGTTTGTTTACTCATCAACATGATCATCAGGCATATATAAGGTCTTATCAACTGATAACGAAAAGTACCTACCACCGCCATGTAAGAACGTCCTTCCTCTTTGTCTTTTGCGCCCTGCGACCTGCGATCTTCAAGCGCAAATCTCCGAGAATCTTTATGAGGATGTTTGCCCTTACAAGGTGTATTCGGCTGACGGATTTTGCAGTACAGGGTTTTGTATCTAAATTGGACACCGGGGCGCACTCCCACTATGGACTTTTTCTATAACTTGCCTCGATTGATCGCTATGACGATACCAATCAGAGATCGGCTGTCCAAGATCCGAATCAAGCGCTGTCTCATCTCCGTGCCTGTCTGTATCCTTTGCTCTGTGGGTATGGGTATTGGTATGGGTATAGGTCTGGAGGGGGAAAATATCGGGGAAATAGAATCGTTCTTTTACAGCGATAGACTAACTACATGTATGGGGACGGGCCAGGTACTCTAGTACTTTTTGTTTCTTTTAAAGTAGAAGTTTCATGATCTTACGCCAAGTACCTACTACCAAGCTGCGTGCCATGGGTTTGGGTACAAGACTAAAAACAAGGCGTGTAGGGGTTGTGGTACAGTGGCCATCCATCATGTAGTTAACAAGCCCCATGGTTTCACGAGATCATTCCACGGACGGATGACACCCCTTATCCCGACGCAACTCGGTAGCCGATCACATTCTCCACACATACACACATACACACTGCTGCTGCTGCACAGTCTGCACACACACACACACCAGATCATATCGCGGTTCTCCGGGCTGTTTTGTCCAGGCCTTATGAAAACCCAACCAGCAGCGCAGCACAGCAGCACAGCAGCACCAGTGGATGCAGTGCACAATCACAATCTCCTTATATTTGCTACCGTTATTTGCTTTTCCCCCACCATGTATGTCCCGCACATTACATACATGACGTCGGCATGCCTCACAAGGCCGCTGCGCCCGCCCCCATCGAAGGGTCCGGGTCTCAAACTCGATTTTGTTATCCAGCTGGAAGGTTTTAAAAAAAAAGAACTTCTCGAAGGAATCGTGTGATCTCTACCAGCTGCTGAGAGACTGAGACATTCTCCATCACCGATTCGGTAATGTCCAGCTCGATACGGTTGGCAATCCCCACGGTGTTATTGATGGAGGGAGGGAGGGGAGGGGCTGCGTCCACATCTGCCGCTGGGCCT